GGAGAACGGTGGCCGGAGAGAGAAGAGAGGAGAGAGGAGAGCTTTAAAATATCAAAAATATACTTGCATTAAGATTTTAATTTAAAATTACCAAATTTATAAATTTCCTAATTTATCTATTGATTTGTGGTTAATATTGATTCTCACAGTTACCACAAACAACTCAGTTCTCCCTTGAATAAGCCCTATATATATATATATATATATATATATATATATATATATAAAAGGAAGGAAAGAAAGAAAGAAAGAAAGAAAAATGATATATATACCTATGAAGCTCATACGCCCAATCAAGCGGAAAGACGATATCCTTTTCACCCCATATTAGAAGGGTTTCCTACACCCAATTAATATAATAATATTAATATGAATTGGGTTTTTTGATCCGATCTGGCAATCTCGATCTCGATCGATGATTGAGTATTAGAAACAAACAAATTAAAATCCCAATCAGCAAAAATTGGATCAAACCTGGGTAAGAACAGGAAGATCAACATCAGATTTCTCGTCCAACAATTTCAGAACTAGTTCTTTCTTCTCCTTTTTGCAACATTCAATCTGAAACGGATTCGATTCATAGTTGATAAATGAATACTGAGATTTAAGGAAAGTATTTTGAATTTGATTTAATACTTACAGCGATGAATCCCCATAGGAAGAAATCTGGAATCCACCTGCCGATATCGTATTTGTGAATAGATATTCGGCACAACGCTCGTAAATCCTCCGGCGTCTTCGCCACCAGCATATCCACCACGTCCCGCCCTATCTTCTTCACATGCTCCAATTTCCGATCCTGTCTACACACGATTCCACTGCTCACGATCACCAATTTCTCCACCATTTCCTCATGCAGCTCCGCCATGCGGTACGCAACAAATCCCCCATAACTGATGGCATACACCGAAAACTTCTCCACTCCTATCTTCTTCAATCCATCGCACACACACTTGGCCTGAAACTTGTCACTACGATCCGCATTGCTAGAGTACGAATCGCCAAAGAAAACTAGATCTGGTATGTAAACGTTGAAATCACGTGTGAGTTGAGCTACCTGCAATATGAACTGCCATTTAGAGTTTCCACCGAACCCATGGATGAGCACGAGGTTCGGCTTCTTGCTGCTGCCATGTTTGGTGGCCCAAAAATATAGTGTGGTCTGGTTGTCGTCAAGATAAACGGTGGATGGGGACAGGCAGCAGTAACGGAAGTAAGCCGATAAAATGGCATCGGCGAAGGTGACGGGAAAACGGTGGATGATGGCGTACAACGGTTTTAGTGAGAAGATTTGGCGAAAGGAAAAGAGAAGACGGTGAAGAAAGCAGAGAGAAGCCATGGAAGGAAGCATGAAGAAAACGGGATGGATAACGAATGATGGGATGAATATAAAGCTGCCTCATGGCCATCTATTTCAAAATAATTGCCAATTTCATTACAATATTCTCTTTTATCTTTATCTTTATTTTTATTTTTATTTTTAGAAATCTTATTCGATAAGTAAACGATAATGTTGAATTTTACCAATAAGTATTTATCCGAGTAAAACGGTCTCTTACTCTATTATTAAGGGTGAAATTGGCCTTTGGTGAATAAAAAAGTGTAATAAATTTTCATTTCATTGTGGACGTTTATGGAATAAATAGATAAAGCCAAATCAATACAAGTTGGATCCAATTGAATTAATACTTGGGTCTTCTATTTTTTGTGGGATCTTATATTTTGGTTTCATCCCTTATGTCATTTGTAATATCTTTCAGTCAACGGTATCAGAATTGTCTAATTTTATCCTTGCCTAAAGTCACGACTTTAGAACACAACACGTCTACAAATGAGGTATACAGTCTCTTATAAGATAAGATAAGATAGTTTTTATTACCCTCTCCAACCAATGTAGGATCTCACAACATTTGGATAAAACAATTTAGAATGATTGTTGGGACCAAATCAAACACAGGTCGGATCCAATTGAATTGATTTTTTTAATACGTCTTTCATTTGTTTTAATAAAATATAAACACTTGATATCGATTTTAACATTTAGATAATTTCATGATTTTTGAAAAGACGTTTACGTATGATAGTTTGATTTGATTAGTAGAAGACGTATGTATCTTAAATTTAAACAACTCATTCTTTGGTTAATTTTGATTTGTGATCAAAATGGAATTGAATTAGAATTAGAATTAGAATTAGAATGAACAAATTTTTAAGACAAATTTGATCCAATGTTTGTTAAAACGTTAAATATTAATTTTATTAAAATAATATGTTATATTATAGATATGTATGTAACCTTTTCTTCTTGGGAATGGGAATCATGAAGCATGCATGAAGCATGGCATTTTAATTGAAACATAAGGTTGATGGTGGTCCAACGCAAATACCAAAACAGGTATAACATGTGGAAAACAAATTAAGTGTTGTACCAATAACTACAGCAACAATAATAAATAAATTCTTAGCTTTTCTTTTTATAAAAATTTGCAATTCAAAACAAATATATGGTTGGAGATGGTAAAATCAATACCATACATCTGATTTATGTCTTGTAAATATTTCGCAAAAAAAGATCCATCTTATCTTTTACTTTTAATGTTTTAAAATAGCAATATATTTTCTAAAGTAAAAACAAGTGTTATTCATGCACTAGAATGACATGTTTTATAAAATAAATAAAAAAATGATTCATAATGAAACCATGACTTGAAGCTTACATATTCCATACATGCATATGCATATTAGGGTAAGACATGATATATGCATATTAGGGGAAGACATGAAGGAACCGAGATGAAGAGTTGCACTTCTTAAAATAGACGTTGGACGTGTCGGGAGGTCTCAATAATTATATAGAATATGCCTAAGATTTTATGATAGAATTTCTCCCATATATAACAAACAAATTTTAAAACCACATAATCTACTAACCTTAAACAAGGATGATACATTTTTCTGTACAAAGATGTATTTACAAGAAATAATTCAAATCATTTTCTATCTGGGCCTACGCCTATATATCCTTTTCTTACATACATATTACATAATACATTCATCCACTGCCCCCACGGTATCCATGCCAAACTCACATATTATATCATCTTCCCCATCCCACACCCGCAGTCGACTTAGTTACAGACAGACCCCTGTCGTACATGCGTTGAATCTCTTCCCGGTACTCACTCAGCGACTTGTCTGGTATCCGTGGTGTTAGCTCCACCACGTCTCCCATTTTCAGCTTGCAGTTAGGATCGCTCACCGCCACATGGTTCAACCTTGGCCTCAACTCTTCCTTCATGGACAACCCATATGAACCACATCTAGAGCTCCCCTGACCTGCTTTGTTTAGAACATCTTTCACACTTGAACTTGCGGGAAACTCTTGCACTGACATCTGAAACAGAACACATGTTTCCCAATTAACTTTCATGCCTACATGTATAATTAATAAACCAAAAGCCTCCTCTTTTTTGGATGGGTGTCACAGCAAATTGCGACAGTAAGGCATCAACCCTGATAAACCCAGTGTCGTGGCCACAATTGTTGTGGACGCCTGGGCCGATGGGATATTCTACCACATACCGAAAGCCTCTTTTTGTATGTGTGATATACAAAATGGTTAATCACCAAAATAGCCAATCATTTTGCGAGATGATGCTATTGCTTGGTCACCCAGAAAACTATCATTTATCATCTCGCAAAATAACGATTACATAAAAGAGGACATCGCAACATAAGGAGTTTGCAAACTCTTCATTGTACTTTCCCCAATAAAATAGTCGAGATTTGTACGGCTAAGCCAAAAAAAGAGGAACTCGCAAAAACTCCATGGCTATTTTGTAGCAAATCTGGCAATTTTGGCTATTTTGTGATGGGCTTCCCTCCGAACTAGCTATTTTAGTGATTAACCCCCTACACAAAGCTATAATAAGATAATTCATGGGTTGGCAAAATATTTGTACTTGTAGACTACCAACCTTGTCATTTTCGATCATGATGACAAAAACGGGCCCATCGGATCCACAGCAAGGTTTGTAGGAATGTGGGCAATCTTCGGAATGAAAAGGAAACGTGCAGGGAGGCTTGATAGCCTCGTTAAAGCCGATGCATGATTTATCTTGGCCCATATTCTCACATTGCCAGGTGACAACCCAACGCGCCCATTCAACCATCTGKAGCACAAAYGAAGARTGYWTACAWTCACCTTCCTTGTATCTCCAATGRGCWGCRAATCCAAACTCSGCYTGTGARTGCATCTCTTTYGTTCTGATCTGAACTTCAAGTGGAACCGATCCCTCTCCCATCACTACTGTGTGCAAAGACCGATACCTGCAAATTCAAGTTTCCTCCGTAATATTAATAAAAATGCATAGAATCGGAAGCTTTGTCCAAAAAAGGTCCATCAAATACAGAAACAAAAACCAAAGGGTCACTGGCCCAATGGTAGATCCCAAGTTCCCAACCTTCTTGGAGGTCAAGGGTTCAATCATCACCAAAGGTGAGGAGTGTGTGTGTGTGTGTGTGTGTGACTATTTGATATATATATATATATATATATATATATATATATGAGAAAAAAATACAGACCTCCCAACCAAAAAAAGAAAAAACAGAAATAAGCGATGGCATGTAATAACTGACATACCCATTACACTTGGGATGATTTATGTAGTCTTTGAACTTCCCAGGTACTTCGGTCCATAACTGATGAACAAGCTCTAATGCTTTATAGCAGTCCTCTTCATTTTCAACAATGAGACGTATCCCATGAATATCATGAATTTCATCCATGGCCAGCCTTTTCCTACAAATAAATACATAAAATGTCAAACTCATATACAAAGTATAATTTTAGAGGTAAGATGCAGAAAATAATACATTGCAATAGTTCCTTGATAAAGGACTTGCCAACAATTTTCATTGATTTCCAAAGAGCAAGGACTTGCTAGCTCAAAATTGAGCAGATTAACATGGTCCCTGAACATTTATTACCTCATAATCATAAATGCATACATAAGTGTTGAATGAATTGTTTCAAGTAGCTAGATCTAATACAAGCCAAGATCAAGGGCCAACCAATAAACCAAATTATTTCATAGATTCTGCTAATTCAAATAATTTATCTACTAACTTCTACATCCAAAAAAGGATCCTTTAACTCTCTTTGCTTCAAAGAAAGAACCCTATTTTTCATAGATTGTAGAAAGAATCATTTTTACTGATTCGTGATAAGGTGTCAAATTGCCCATATTGTCTTCAAGTTCTTTCTAAATTTTGAAGTTACTCTTTTTTGGACCGCATCATTTCTAAAAATACATATGTTTAGGTATTAATGCAGCTTAAAATAAGTTCACACATGAGAGGGAGAGGGACATACTTTAGCATTTTGCAGTAGATGCTATACAAGCTTTTGTGCCGCCCATGTAAAACATGGTAAGAAATGGATGCATCTTGAAGAGATTGCTCCAATTTCTCTGCAGCAGACGTGACCATTGCCTCATCAAAGGACTTCAAAAGTTGGGAGGAAAGATCTTTGTGCTGCTCTGGGTTAAGGTATTTGAAGCAGAGATTCTCCAATTGCTCCTTCCAACTAGTAATCCCTAAACGATTAGCCAGAGGAGCAAATATCTCCATAGTCTCCTTTGCAAACCTCTGTTTTTTGTTCAAAGGCAACGCTTCCAACGTCATCATATTGTGCAGCCTATCAGCCAACTTTATTAGTACAGCCCTCGCATCTGCCATCGCAAGAAACATAGTGTGCAGACGATCTGCTTCTGTGGTTCTGTTCGCTGTATTGCTTTCACGAGCAAGCTTGCTCAATTGGCTTAGCTTAGACACCTGTAAATATCAATCAAATTAAAGGCCTTTCACAGTAATGATCCACGAAAAGATGGGTGCCAAAATCAATCAAACTAGATTCACTTATATAAGCAAAGAGAGGAATAACAACACAGACTACCTAAACCTTTGCAGACAATCTCAGAGTATACGACCATTTAAACCAATACTAAAACAAGAAACAGCCGTGCAGCTATGTTACAAAGTTTCTTCTTATGAACTCAGATGCAAACAGAAGATACCTCACCTTAATCAAAAGGGAAAAAGAGAATTCACAATGAATAGATACTACATGATTTGTTGTAACCGATAGAAAGAAGGTGAGTAAATACTTGCAAGATGGTAAAATAAGAAAGCACCTTGTTAAACTCTTTTTGATGAGTAAATAGCAATCAAGTAATATTCTTCATGGAGGTAAACAGATCATCACATTGACAAGATCCACCAATAGCAAACACATATAACTGAGATTACATATCATAGACACATACCCCTTCAACGAGATCAGCAACCCCAGGTCCGAAAGTTTGGTGAATATAGTCATAGCTTATGAAAGAATCATCAAGTGTATCATGTAGAAGTCCTGCAGCAACTACCGTAGCGTTAGCACCAATTGTAGCCAGCAAAACCGCAGTTTGCAAGCAATGCTGTAAATAGGGATCCCCACTAGCTCGCATCTACAAGATCAGTACCCCCAATTTAATACAATGGAAAACTAAAATTCTCATTAAATTAAATCAAGTAAAAGGGGAAAACTAGAAGAAGTTAATACCTGCCCTCTGTGAGCCTTTTCGGCTTCAAAGAAAGCTTTGATAACGAGGTCATCGTTGAAAATCTTGTGTTTCGCTTGTGCATCCAATAACAAATCTGCAGCATACGGCTCGGGATCTGATTCCTTCAAAATAGTATCATCCATCATAAATGTAAGTTCCTCAGCCAAATTATCTTGCACTTGAAAACTCCGAGAACCATAATCCACACACGAGCTTAACGAGTGTGTAACAAACCCTTTAAACAAGCGCTTGCTCCCAACACGAATCGAACCATCTCTTTCAGGAGAAAACCTCATCGGCGGTGAACTGCCCATCGAAACGGGACCTTGAAACACCGAAACCGGGCTTTGATGAACATGATCTCGTTTCAAATAAGATCCAAAGGGCGAGTACGAAAAGGAGCTGCTCAGATCTTCAGCACCTCTCATCGACGGCAATTCTTCAGATCCGCCAGCGGAAAAGCTTGATGAAGACGAGAACATGGAAGAAAGCCCTCCGACGATTGGTTTTTGCGACGATGAAACGGTGGCCGTAGACGAAGACGATGGACGGCTGCTTAAATCGAAATCGTAGGACGTGTGTGAATTGATCTGACATGGATAAGGGGTTGAGCAGATACCAGTGGGAGGAGTTGCATAGAGAGCGATGGTTGGAACCGCCATGATTGATGAAATTCTGTGAAATCAAAACCCTAGATGCCGATTTAAGTATGCAAATCGTTTGACTGCAAACTGAAGCAAAGCAAAGGAAGAAAATTCTCGGAATGGGGAAACAAACAAATTAGAAATCAAATGAAGAAATTTGGTATGTACATAACATTACATATGAGAAGAGAAGAGATGAGATGGGATTTGAAGGAAGGGAAGACGTGGTTTCTTGGTTCTGCTCGATTTGATGATATTTTGTTCCTTCAAATGAACGCCTTCGGTTCAAATAAATCGAAAAAAAGAAAACAAAAAAAAAAAAAGGTTGCTTACAATTTACATGTTTCTCCTTGCCATGTACCCGAAATAACTGAAGTTCTTGTACCAATCTTAATCGAATGTCAACATTAAAGACGTACATATTGTTTGTTTGGATTGATCCTAATCGAATGTCAACACTAAAGACGTACACAGGATCAATTCTCTTCTAAAATGCAATTCATGGGTCTGACATTAAAAGCGATCGAGGATTCAGATTCATAACTTATCTTCCCACACGATCCTTCATTTTTCTTTCCGCAACTTTCAAATATTTATGCATTAATTAACATGTAAATTTAGTTGCTTATTCTTGAAACTAGACACCCATTTATAGAAACTTATTCTAGGACAGAGAGAGCATAATTCGTTTCAGTTTATGTGTACGAACTAAATTTATCGAGTAACCATGAATGACCTGAGTAATCGTAAGTCAACCTCCATGACTAGGGGTATAAACGAGTGGAACTTTTAACGAGCTACTCAAGCTTGACCTTAATAATTCACAAGCTCAAGTCGATCTCGAACACAAAATAGAACTCGTTTAACTTAACGAGTCTAGCTTCATAAAACCAATGTTGGACTCGACACCCGAGCTAAAGATGCTCATATGTTTATAAATAATACGATAAAAATCATCAACTTCGAGCCAATAAACAAGTTAATGGATCGCGGATACAAACCCATAAATGAGCATTGAGCTCAAACTTGATAACTCAAAAAATATTCGAGCTTGAGCTCCAAACCGAATCCTACATTAAAAATGTAAATCGAACTCGAGTCTGGTATAATTTTTCCGAAGCAACCAACTACACCACTAAGCTCAAATCGTTTACACTTCTATTCACGACCCACAACCTTAACAACACAAGGAATCGGATCGAAAAAAATATGAGATTTTCATCACATTCCGACCGATAACCACAACTCAAGTGATTACGGTTTGTTATTTTTATGTCATTTAATAAATAATGGATTTAAATAAAAAGTTAAACTTAAACCTCATAAAAAGCATACCAATTTGGTTTTGGTGACAAAGGGTATTATCGGCAGATTAAATGGTCAAGTTGCTTCCAGTTTTATTTATTTATTTATTTATTTTAATATTAAGTAGGTGGGATGTATTTTGTGAACAGGAAAATGCGAGTGGTGTGCGGAATAGAGAAATGTTAGCATGCTTTAAACGGACAAATGGTGCAATAATATTAGCCGTTGGATTTGCCAGATCGCATACAAACCATAAGATAAACGGTTGAGCCAGCACGTGGCACGTGACCGGTAGTCGGACAGTGACACGTCAGTGTAAATCAAATTGGAATCGTTCTTGACGAAGGTGAATGCAGGCCCGTTCCTGACATTTTTTAGGCCTTGGGCGAGATGTAAAAAAGGGGCCCTTGATAAGTACGATATTTTTTCAATATATTGTTTTTATCATCAGAAATAACATTGAATTCATATAAAACCGTTTTCCGAGTATTTCTGGACGCAAAGTCAATCAATACTCATTTCTAAATTAATATTATCTACTMGAACAGTTTTATGTAGTATCAGTAATTTGTTTCGTCATCAAAAACATCATACGATACACTTTTGGTACATAAAATGATATCATTTGGGGTTACAAAGTGGATTCTTCTGATTTTCGAGTGACACTATGTAAAACAATATAAAAAGGTTGGTTTTCCATGTCATCTCGTGTTAATGTTTTTTAACATCATTTTTAACTTTTATATTATGTTTTCAAATTTGGAAAGATTAACACTATTCTAAACTTTTATTTTATGTTTTCGAATTTGGGAAGATTAACAATATTTTAAACTTTTATGTTATGTTTTCGAATTTGAAAAGATTAACATCATTTTAAACTTTTATATTATGTTTTCGAATTTGAGAAGGAAAGAAAGAATGAGAAAGGAAAAAAAATAAAAGGAAAGAAAAAAAAATAAAGTTTTTTATTTGTGTTTTTAATAAAGAATAGAGATAAAGGAAAAATAATGAAATAAAAATAAAATTTGATATAATTTTTTTCCTTTTTTTTTCTTTTCCCTAAAAAAATCTCGAGAACATAATACTTTTCTTCCCCCATTACTTTCCTCTCTTTCCTACGTAAAAGAAGACTCAAGAACATATAGTTAGAGTTAAAACAAACTTTTCTTGAATTCTCGATTATATAAATTAAAAATCTCATGTTGGTGATGGTTTGAGATCTTATTCTTTTTTTTAGAAATAAAATAGTACATAAGATTTATAAACTCAATATTAGATAATAAAGAACAACTATTAAAAAATTATAGTTTTATTATTCTAAATATAAATATAAGTTATACCGTCTTATATAGTTGGTACTTTTTCAAAAGATGGGGATTTTCTTAGCTAGTAGCAAGAAAATCAATCATATTCTAAAATAAAAATAGAATTTACATGACAATAGAACAATCAACAGAGTCGATGGAAGATAAATTATAGAGAATATATCAAAGTTTTTGAAGCAAGTTGTTTTAGACATCGGTTTTAGATTAAAAAAAACTTAGAAAAACATTAAATAATATTATATAATGAACGACAGATTAACCTATTTATGTATTTTTTTTTCTTCAATATATTTAATGCATACATGTTTGAGTCTTTAATAGTTAATGTAGTATAAAAGTTTTTTCTTGTCATATTAGATACTAATTTTTTTTATGTGTCTTCTATTTACTAATTTTTTTGAACTACTATTATATATATTAAAAAAATCGGGCTCCTATTTTTTATGGGCCCTGGGAGTACGCCCGGCCCGCCCTCCCCCAGGGACGGCCCTGGGTGAATGACGGCTGGAGGTTAACACACGTGGCATGCTGAATTTATAGATTCATTGAACCGCCGAGCCAGCCGACTAACAAGAAGGTTTGGATAAGTGGGCCGACATTTTGGGCTTACGATTATCCAATGGGCTCTAATTACTGTCCTATTACCCTTTTCATTTACTTACGAGTAAACTACAGTTTTCGTCCCGATAGTTTATTAAAAATAGCAAACCTGGTATATAGATTTTCGAAATTGCAATTTTAGTCCTTGTGGTTTTCGTTCCTATATCTATCTTTGGCAGTTGTTTATCGTTAAATATGATGGATGAAAATAACAACGAATTGTAAGGAATATAGATAAACAAATCAATGAATTGTCAACCACACCGAGGGAAACTATAAGGACAAAAACTGTAGTCTTTAAAAAAATATGTACAAGAATAGCAAATTTTAACCGACCACATGGACGGCGTACATAGTTTCCTCTTTAATTGATAACTTTTACGAGAATTCCTTTTTTGGTACATTGACAATTTAATATTTTAAGGTTCGTGCTTTAATTATACAATGCTTTAGAGTCCATCTTTTTATAAGTTACCTTTGTTATGTAGGTTATCAAAGGGTCAATGGTTTGGTGATAGGATTACTGGTAAAGTCAACATTCTAAAAGGTCAAGGTCTTTAAAAACTAACATGTATACATCCACAAATGTCCATTTTTACCCTCCATAACGCATCTGCAAGCACCCATTCTTACCTTTATGTTGTTAGGCATGGCTAGAAACTAACATATGTACGTCCATTCGATTCATATATGAACACCTCACACATGTACATTTATATATCAACCAAAATTTACTTTTTTTTTTGAACGTCTTCTCCGTAAGTTGTAGCCTAAACACTTACTATGTTTTCTTGAAACCTTTTCTACCAAGTAAAGGAAGCTCGTGTTTTTGAAACTTTTTTAAGAAAGGAAAATAATGATAAGTTTCCTCCAAAAATGTGGGAGGAAGAGGAAGGAAAGACATTAAATATTAAAAAAAAAAAAAAAACTATTAAAATTACGAAACTATCCAATCTTTCATTTTAGATGATACATTTTTAAAGGAAATGTTATCGATATATACACACACACATATATATAGAGAAAGAGAGAGATGAGTTCACGTGAGACCAAATTGTTGTCATAAGACTTGGTTATAACAAAATACCGTAAAGATAAAAAAAATTCAAACATTCATAACAAAACATTATAAAGGTTACTTTTAACGAAGTTTTATTTTAAAATTTCAAGTATAAAAAAAAAAAAAGTAATTTTAGGCATGTTATACAAAGGATGGTCGGCGACAGCTAGAACATAGGAGGAAACAAGGGATGAGTATTGGGGAAGACACGTAGGGGGCCACCGGTGAGAATGATGACTCATGAGTTGTACTCCAAAAAAGTCGTTTTTTAAAAAAATTAATTAATTTAAAAAAAATATAATTGAAATATGTAAGGAGTGGAGCCACAACAGAAGTTTGATGTACCAAAAAAGATGAAGAGTCAAAATGGTAGTAATTTAATTGTGTTCATAAATCAATCGTATCGTGCCATCTTCCAATTATTAAAGCAGAAATTGACATACATACCATACCCCGGCCCCACCCACTACTCCATCAATCATTTCTAAATATCTAATTCCACTCATCCTTATCCAGCTCTTTATTAACACATGCACCTTCTTCATTTAATTATACATAATTCTTTTTAACAGTTGTAAATCTAGCTTATTTAGTAAGCTTTATGCAAAAAGTTAAGTTTTTTACAAATATGTCGTCCCTATCTATTAACAACATGATTTTTTTATCTATGAAAAACTTTCTCAAACAAGAACGTTCTCAATCTATATACATAGGTTAATCCAAACAGACAATCTTGTCTATACAAGACTTAATAAAAAACCAGTCAAACCACCTCTTACTCAATCTAACACTTAGGGGCCGTTTACCAAATGCTTACTCGGGTAAGCCCTTACCAAGTCACATTCCTTTACTGGATGAATATGGCAAGAATCAAAAATCTTATCTGGTAAGAGCGAAGGCCAAAACCACGAGTCTTACCCAGTAAGTGATGGCGACGATCCTTACCACGGTTAGCGCTTACCGGGTAAATTATAACATACAATGTTGTTTTCATAGACCAAAATCTTACCCGATAAATCAGCGATAGAGTTGAATTTTACTGTTAAACACTTATCTGGTAAGTGTTTAGGTAAACAGCCCCTTATTCAGACTAAACCTTACCCAAACTACCTATACCTTCTCAACATTTATAAATTTGGTAAATGTTACACTTTTGATGAACTAAATGACCGTTTTACCCTTGATAATATATGCAGTAATTAAATTCTCCATCTCATAATTAAGGATATAATAAGAAAGTATGCACTTATTTTGAGACAAATTTTAAAATAGAAATACGGATGCTTATTTTATGACAAAGGCTAACGTTAAAGATACTAGACGGGTTAGTTAAACTCGATCGTCCTATGTTTTATACAAAACGGGCAAGATCTTACATTCGATCAACATATCTAACTTACAACTTAATAACAACCTCATTACAAGATAACTAACTTAATATGCGCCGAAAGGGGTTCAAATAGACACACTGTTTGGAACCCCTCGGCAAGTTACACCAGGCGGTGAACTCGGTGCAAGAAGTTCGTACGGCAGAACTCCAGCACCACATCGATTCTTTAGACCTGTGTCCCTATTCCTTCTTTCGATCTCCTTCTCTATCCTCTGAATCTCTGCCGAGAACCCGTAAAACGCTTCCACCATCTCCGCATCCCCAGACCATGTGTACGTCTGATGTCGCTCGCCGATATACTCCTCATCAGGTGAGTGAGTAGACAACGTATCCACCACTGCCATGTATTTTGTCGATTGCAACATGCTTGGCAATGCCGAGAGGAAGAATTTTTGTGGATCATCGAGGAAGCTCGTGTATTCGGGATCGTTTTCGTCAGGAAGCAACCGGCGCATAAGCGGAGGTCGGTTTGGTATGTAGCCACCGTATGGATACTGGCCGAAGTTAAGAGCCGCGTGCTGGGCTGACGAGAGCCAAATGATGGTAGTCAGGACGGAGGTGAGGTCATCTCCATTGGCCAATGTGGGCCACCAGTTCTTGTCACGGAGATCCGCGTGGCCCACATTGATCGACTCCGCATACCATGCTTGGAGCTCTCGGTCGTTACAGACGTCCGATGAGTCCGGGTAGTATCGGGTTACATAAGTACGAACCCAGTTTTGTATGGCTTCCCAAATTAAGAGCCCATCAGAAGCATACGGGTAGTCTTCGATTAGGAGTTTCAGACCATGTCGCTGACTCGGGTCGGGAACTGCCATACCCCTGTATGCATATATTCGTCAGATATTTGAGTTTTATAGTACGCCAAATATGCCTAAAATGTCCTAATAAACAAACTTTATTAGACCAGACAATTGTGTAACATATGTAAAAATGTGACAATAAGTTATTAGAACATTTGTTAGCGTCCTAACAAGTTTTAAGACCCATTTGAAATAAAATGTGTTATTAGCTTTTTTATACGACACTTTTGACATCGTTCTATAAGATACTTGTTTTTATAAGACATTTTTTCAAATATTTTCGTATAAAGATACTAATATAATGTTTTATTTCAAAAATGTCCTAAAAACTTGTTACGACACCTAAAAGCTTCCGTATCAATCCATTGTAACATCGAATGCACAATTGTTTTGTCCTATAATTTTTAGTCTTATAAAACAATCTATTATGACATTTAGCTGTTGTTTGGTTGGTTTTCCATTAAAACCTGTCTGGCTGGATTAATCTGTCTGTATCGATTGAAAGGTTTTTATTAGGGTTTTTTATAGATAGAAGGAGCACGTTTTTTAAAGCCGACTTCTTGTAGTACATCTATTATGCATGTAATGTATGAAACTAAGAATACAAATTTACAATGATTAATTGTATGGGTTTTGGATGGATACCTTCTAATGAGATCAGCTGGGAGGCCTTCTAAATCAAAGCGCCAATGTTTATACGCAGCCGCACTTATTTCCATGCAGTAGCGGCCAGGGGTGAAGCATTGCTCAATGACACCATCGGCATTGATGAGGTTCTGGCGGGCAAGGGCGTTGATCTCTAGCGTATATCTCATATGTGGGTCCAGAAGCTTATATATCGGGTGCATAGCGCTCAATTGTCTGTGTGCAGACAATATAAACGGTTCCATGGCTGCATGTGTCCGTAACCAGTGGTTCGAAAGTTGGTGCACACCAGCGTCGTTAGAGCAGACATGGGCTTTAGCCAGTTGCCAAGTCCAGTTGCTGGTGGCATCTACTGGCGGTGTGACCACACGCTTTGATTGTGAACCAGGTAGAGCCTGTGGTAGGCTAAGCTCGATTGCAATGGGCTTAAGCGTGCCGGATGGATTCAAGTAAAATATGGTGCGAGTTGCATATGCCTTACGCCCATCAAGTGCATTTATTCGGTCAAGAAATGGTATGTATACATCATGGTAGTCGATTATGAATAGCTTATTTTCCTCCATAGCCTGTTAACATTTACTAAATGTTAGTTACATACGTATACAGAAATACTCACTAATGCAATATATATATATATATATATATAGAGAGAGAGAGAGAGAGAGAGAGAGAGAGGCACCTTCTTTTGTTAACCGCCTAACTAGTACAAACTTTGTTAACCGGGTATTTTCGTCTTTTTCATATATCGGTATCACATTCCTCAATCATTTACTTTGTATAAACTTCCTTAATTATCTCATTCACTTTCTTGTTTCATCCTATGAACTTTGGTAAAAAATTTGGAAGTTCATACACGAAACGACATTATGAACTCAAAGAAAATCATTGTTTCACCTATAAACTTTTTAGTTTTCACCTGTGGACTTCGATAAATTAGGAATTGGAACAATCAAAGTTCATAGATGAAACAACACTATCAACTTTAAACAAACACCATATAAACCATGATTATTTTCCAAAAATAGAACATTATTATTTTTTCAAATATAAAATATGATCATCTTCCAAAAATAAAAACAATTTGTTGGAAAACGGTCCTCCATTTAATTCAATTTCTTTCCTTTTTCATCATTTTATAACTTCACATTTAATCATAACCGTTGATCACAAAATGAACGGCTCGGATAAGTTTGTAAAGTTAATACTATTTACTTGGTTAACAAATGATTGTGCCTATACATATATAGACTCAGGTTCGGAGGAAAACAAAAAAAAAATGATAAAAAATGAGGAACACCCTAATAACCATTCATTTGTCTGGTATGCACATGTGCATAAAAGCAATGAAAACATTTCCTAGTTTTTATGCACAACAAATTACTTTTATACATATATGCACCCTAGAAAATGAATGGTTTAATGTGTTCATTGTTCATTTTCTTGTGGTTTTCCGGTAAACCCAACCCTATATATATATATAGAGAGAGAGCGATAGAGAGAGAGGTTCATATGAGAATGGTACCCATTTAAGAAAGTAAAAAAATGGCCAATTACGTACGAAATCACATGTGATTTTACATTAACGGTCAGAAAAATGTGCGGGGGACCCTATGGCCGGATAGCAAGGTTGGGTGAATAACATATGATTTTGTACGTGATGTTAGTGTAAAATCACATGTGATTCAGTCATTTTCTTATTTTCTTAAATAGGTACCATTATGAACCCGACTGTGTATATATATGTATGTATGTATGTATATGCTGCAATTTGCATATGTAAGAAAGAATTTAAAGGCTCAACTGGTATAAAAAATTGTTACCTGCTGGACGGTCAAGCCGTTAAGGTAGCCTGAAATGTGTTCTTCTTGGAGGGCGGACTCTTGTCTGCCATAGATATCAGGGTCGAGTCGACTCACTGGTGGGAAAGCTTGAAGCTTTTCTATGTTGACAGGGTTGACCCCTGCGAGTGCTTGGCGAGCAAATTCATCATCACGTAACCATGAAAACTTGTCCTCTGCACAAATGAATAGTATAAACTTCCATTCAGTTTTTTATCTTCACATATGAATTTGCATATAAAATGATGCTTACTGGAAAGAATCTTGGGGGTATCATATTTTAGAAGGCCACCACCCTGGCTAGACTCATGGAGTCTGGTCACTAAGTTTGGCAATCTAAGCTTCTTTAAGAGATCATCCTGAAGGCCTAGTTTCAAATGGACTCCTTCACTATAGAGACTTTCGATCTGTGAGAACCCCTTGAAGTCGTGTTTCTTCGAAATGCTGGCCACCATTGACGGCAGCAGATTATGTAGCACCGCCTTTAGCCGCCCTGTTGAGAATGCATTTTGCTTCGACTCTTCGAATTGTTCGTCTCTCGGAACATACAAAGGAAAAGGCTTCTCCACTCGACTCTCAGCTAAAATATCTGTTTGAATCACACAACAATAGATAATCTCAGCAATCCAGCACTCGGAAAAGTTCAAATGAGAATCATAAATATTTTAAGAAACTGAGAACCAACTGTTTCATGCGTAATTCATAATGAATAACCCTGAACAATCATGAATATCATGCATCATACATCTTTATGATGAATATCATGTGTTTTCATTATGAATGATTTTCATCACGAATAAAGAATGAATAAATGATTCCCAAGTTTCAAAATATTTACGATTCTCATCTAAACCCTCCCTTATCATTATTTAGGCCGTATTTGGGAAAAAGATCGGTTACACAATACACACCAGTATCACTAGGTAAACGGCCAGTGCGACACCGCCTTGGATACGGGATCTTTTCACCTCCAAGTGACGGCCTAATGAAGTCGTTTCCTCTGTCAGGATTTCCCAGATCATTATAAACATCATAATCATACACTCGATCCGATAACTTCCTCACTCCTTTGCCATCACCTCTTAAATCCTTGAGCTCTTTCTCTCTTAACACTTTTAACCCGGCCGGAGTCTCATCAGGCAAATACGGCTGCTCAAATATACAATTATATTCATAAACATGTAAGCTTGATACAACTTTGAAACAAATTTGTTATTGAATTACCAAGAATCGAGTCACCATCTATTAGATCACATCTCAAGAAGTATTCCAATAATAGTTTTATCTATAGATTTAAAAAAAATGAACCCTTTTCGAACATTATATTCGGGGATCACATGGCATGTTCATCAACTACTAATCATGGTGGATCAAAGAGAAATCAAGATTTGACTTTCAAAGTTTAATCCTTTGACTTGTTATAGAACACCGAGGATTTCAATTTTCAAGTGGAAGAATTAAGAAAGATAAGCACCTGATTAGAGAAGAAAATCCTGGGCTTAGGATGATCATTAGTGGATTGAACCCAAGAACTGCAAGGGAAGTAAACAGGACCACATGCAAATCCTTCAATGGTGATACTCTCCAAAAAGAACTCCTTTTGATGCTTATTAGTGATGGTAATGGCTCCTGGAATTCCAAAATCTGAATCCACCAATATATCAGATGTGTAATTAACCTTTTCAGATTTGAGGTTTGATTTCTGTGACCAATCCTTCAACACAGATTCTTTGCTTTTCTTTGGAGCCCTTGTTTCTTCAGCATCAAATGAAATTTAAAAGAGAACAAAAAAGAATCAGTAAGAAAACAAGAAGAAAGTCGATAATTTATTGAAAACTTATAACAGAGGCATTTCATCGAACGAGTGGCGTACTTGGATCAATATCAGTACTGTAAAGCTCCAAAACAACATTTCTCCCGATCTGATCAGCAAAAGCGTCAAATTTCTTGACAATCGCCTCTTTAAAATCTTCCTGATTCTTGTTTCGAACAGTCAATACAGCTCTCACCTTAAAGGTAACCGCCTTTTCGGCTTTCACAAATTTCGCCAAATCTTCACTTATAGCAGCCACCACCACTGGAGTCCTCCTTGGAATCTTTTTCCTGAATTGGGCGGACCTGGAGTTATCAATCGGAACAAAAAGTGGGTTCAGATACAACTGATTCTGGTTGTGATTGATGGTTTTTAGAACATTGGAAGCAAGAAACGGAGATTTTTCCGTCATGGAAGAACCCATGATTTCTTTAACAAGGGCCATACAGAGTGGAGTTGTGGGGAAGAAGAAGAGGGAGAAGGTGGGGTTGTACAGTGGGAATCAGGTTAGAATGTATATATAGGAAGAAGAAGAATTAGTGGATTTGGATGATGGTAGTCATGACGACTACGATTGTATCAGTGGTCAATCATGTCAGTCCACAACCCACGTTTAAAATTTTCCACATTGTTTCATTCCAATCGACAAGGAGAAGCCTGATTCGAGAAAATTCTTGGAGTCAAAACCTGAGTTCTGATCCGGAAGATGATTGATTGTTTGCATAAAGAGGGAAGAAGAAGAAGAAAGGAGAGTATTTGAGATCCAAAATCATGGTATGTATGTATGTAACATTATAAACTAAAAACAAAATACATCAAATATTTTTGTGAAAACATACTTTCATTGTTAGTATTGTTTTTTTCTATTTTTTTTTAAAGGGTGTAACAGGTTGTGTTTGGATTAATCAAAATAAATTATGATCACAATAAATAAATTTAAGTTTACCTCTTAACAATGGTTTTACTAAAAGACAATCTCTGAATCGTTGAAGGATGAATCTTGTTTGGCAAAAAAAAGTTTGTCTCTTAATGGTTTCAAAACCTTCTGAATAATTTTGTATCTCGTGCCTCCCGTAACAATTCAGCGCCATAATTTCATTTTAAATAATTATTTTATATTTCATTAGAGTCTCTTAATCATTCTGACCACTTAATCATTTAGCAACTGCCAAACAGCCTCTGAGTGTTCCATAACGATATTCAATGACTTGAAAGAAAAGCATAAAAATACATTTATAATATTATTTTAGTTTGTTTCAAAATAAATATATGTTTTTAAAAATAAAAGTTGATTTTATTCTTATTATCTTTCTACAATTAGGGGTAAAATTGTCGTCTTATTATTAGAAAATGCAGTTGTAGTTGTAAAATTGTCTGGATCTACAATATGTTATGATTTTTATTTTTATTTCTTTTTTAATGTTTTGATAGTAACGAGTCATTTGGTGATTGTTAGTACAATATAATAAATAGACGTATGATGATGACGAAAAAGACATCCACTTACCATGTATTTCAAGAACTTGAAGAAAAAATATACATAAAACCAAATGACACGTTTTTTTCCATAAAAAGCATCAAAAAATCATGTGGATTATATTGTTTTATGAATCCCAACTCTGACCCAAAATTTTATGACAATGGTGGTGTTATATAAATATCTATTTATATCAAAAAATCAAATCATATATCGAAAATGTAAATAAAAAAACAAGTATGATTAACCTACCTCTTAAGATAAAAATGAAAAACACGTTGAGACAAAGGAAATGGTGTCGAGTTTGTTTGCCATTTTCATTCCCTTCTATGCACCAAAAGAATAAGAGAAAAAGGGGAAAAAGCAGAGACATTTAAGTAGTATTCAGAGAAATTTGACAGTAAACGGTATATTTAAGCATCTCAAGTTCATGCTTAAATGCTTCTCTAGTAGCCTTTGTGGTAATTCAGTAAAGCCAAAATGGGATGACTTTTGAGGCGTTAAGGTCGTCTGTTTATTAAACAATTGATGCATTCATTTTGGTACGATTAGTTGATATATGCTCGAATTCAAGTGTGACATGTTAACGTGTGCGTTGATTAGACATTTTAAGGATAAATATGCATGTTAGAGAAGTTTCAGTGCAAGAAAAACAAAGTTAAATAGTCATTGAATGTTAAATTGATCAGTAGTGTTTGTCTTAGACTCATATTAAGGAACTTATGGTCACTTTTATATTATAAGATTGTTATTTATTTAGGTTTGTCATATTTAGATATGTTAATAATATGCTTAAGATGTAAAATTACGCCATCATCTGTGATGTGATGAGATGATCATATTTAGGTTTATTAAGCTTGTATTTTTCCGTTTGTTGTTTTCAGTAAGCTGATAATCATTCATCCTTTATATGATTTCTTTTTGTTATATGATGTTTAAATATTTATAATTATATAAAAAAATATATTTGTTCAAGTAATCAACTTAGCTACGATCTCAAAATCTAAATGATAATCTATTTTTTACTCTACAACAAAGTACCTCTTTCTATTTTTATAATTGTTTATAGATAACTCTTTGTGAAATATATAGGGAAAAATTCCATTAAAATATAACATATTTTGTTTTTATTTCTATCTCATGTAACATACTTTTAAAACCTCTATTTTAGTACTTGAAATATAACATTTTATACATTTAAGTATCTGGTTTACCTACATATCTGGTAACCAATGGATTAAAATGATGTACAAAAATGAGGTGGAACAAAAAAAAAATAACATGGAATATAATTTAAAACAAAGTGAACAACATTAACAACTTCATTGTTTCAAAGATTTAGTTTTAAAAACTATATGGTAGCAACCAACCAAACAATATGATGATACCCTTCCTTTATAAACGCAAGTTTTCCGCATACAACGAAACCATGAAGCGATGGCCCGTACCACTGTAAGTTTGCCCCTGACTGGCAAGTGGCAGCCACTGTCATTCCCTCCTTTCTACACCCTAATGAGTAATGAACCTCCCCCCTCTACATAAAATGACCGTCGACCTTCCTCTCTCCATAAGTACATATAAACAATGAACAATTCCCGTTAATATCGAATACTTATTCACACGTGAACCAAAAAGAGTTGTAGAAGAATATGGTGGCGGGAATCTTGCTATCAATTTCGATTTAATGACGAGAGTAATTACTGGGCAGTTAACCACTCTCTGATTTGTGCTCCTCAAAGGCCGAAGGGAGGACATAGACTAACGCGAGAGGTAAATCACACATGCATCCATTGAGGGAGGAGTGGTGCTCCAACTCAAAACTAAGACCTCAGATTACACTCACACCGCTACCACACATCTATTATACATGGAAATGGAACTATGAAATCACAAGACAAAAACATGATCACCATTTGCCAAAAGAGAGCATGAAATGACAGTCACACATATTCTTTTTACTGGTCCAAAATACCCCTGTCATCTTCAGTAACACATCATAATATTACAAAAAAAGAAAAAAGAAAAAAACAGCATATACTTCTCTTCTCCATACTCCAGTTGCAGTAATGTGCCTTCTCTAGTGCCCATATTTCTGAAACTCCCATTCACTGTTGTCTGCAGAACACACGCAACCATCTCAGAAACAGTAATCTAGAGACCACTATTTTTGGAAAATTACCAAAATAGCCATTTGCCCAAAAATTTCCCAAACTAGCTGTTTTTCTCAACACGTTATCATGAACTGACTGGTAAGAGTCAGGTTAATACGAGAACAGTTACCACATAAGAGAATAAGAAAACAGTCCAATCACATTTGAATTCACACTAAAATCACATGTAAACCACTTGTGATTCACACAACTCAAGTCGCAGCCCCATCGCTCGCACACCTTTGCATTGACCGTTAGTGTAAAATCACATGTGATTTTGCATGTGATTTGGCTGCTTTTCATGTTCTTTTATTAGGCTACTGTTCACGTTTGAACCTCCCTCTAGCCAGTAAATCCGCACAATATGACCTAGAATTCAAATCTTCTGCTTTTCGGCTGAGATATGGTTTACCAACAGACAGAAAATGTCTGAAAAAGTACATTCCACAAATTTGCTAAGCCAATTTGCAGGATCTGTGGCTATTTAATGATAATTTGCGAAATAACAGCTAGAGGGGCCGGAACAAGAAGGCTAAATATTGTGAGAAGTTTCAGAAAACCTATTTGAAGATGAATATGTTAACCGACAATACCAATTATTCATATGGGTTATCTGCAAATGGATTTTTTCAACGATTCACATATGAACCTTCCCTTCTCAAGATATTTAGCCTTCTTATATGAACCTCCCACAAAATCGCGATTTCTATTTGGTGATTTTTGAGCCAAAAATGGCTAGTTTGCCGACGGGTGAAGTTTAATGGTATACCTAGAGGGCAAACTTGACGAGTCTTCAGCCACCGACTGATGCAGTGAAAGTGAAAAGCATGGTTGCACACACCTGCATATCAATGCAATTTCGTTATCGCATGTTTCAATGTTCAGAAATCATTAAACACCAACATTTCAGTAACTTGGTATACATTTTACACTACAAAGAGATGCAAATATAACCAGGGGAAAATTGTCACAATAACTGGCACAAAAAACTACCAACAATTGAGCATTAAGACAAAGTCTGTATCACAACAAGAATCACAACTAATGGCAAAATGAGCAGATTATCTGGAGTAGGTAATGGGTCAAAATGGACAACAAAAGGAGGATTACTTTTTTCTACCTAAAAATGGCTCAATATGGGTTGGGTTGGATTCACTAGGTGGTTCCGAACACCTATTCTCTCTTTTTTCATAAAAACAAATAAAATTACACCCATATGTGTAGATATATAGCATGCACATACATATACAACATATGCACACAGTATAAAACAAATAAAAATAACTAATAGATTACAAACATATATTATTTGTCATGAATTACAACTAAAAAGTGTTGTATGATCAATATATACCATTATATATCAACTATATCGAGATAGATTGATGATTACATTAGCTTTTTATTAAAATTTTACTTTGTCAAATGTTTTGAGATCATGCAATTAGTATCGATCTCTGTGGAATTATCATTTTATACTGTCATACTATTTTGTATTGCATCATATGGTTACACACTTCATAATGTCATATATCATTTTGCTAGATTACCCATATTTAATAACTTTTAAACCCGTTGATAAAACTCTAATGGGTCAATTGGGCAGGTTTTCCACTGGGCAAGGATACAGAAGCATGATATCAGGACAAGAGGTCATGAAAGTTCTTAAAATTAGGGATACAGGAGTGAGTTATTTATGTAGATTATTAACACATATGAAACAGAACCATGTAAAGCAAGTTCTTCGTAGTTCACACATTACCAAAAATAGTAAAATGCAAGAATCCAAGTTGTCGATCGTAGTGCAGTTGATGCAGTGTTACTATTCATCAATGACATGAATATAACTGCTTAATGCAATGCTGTTCTATTAAAAACTAGAAAGACAAGAGGTCTGAACACCATATTCTAATCTCTTCAAAAGAACCATCTTAGCTTCTTAAGCGGAAAGTGGCAACTAGACAGATACAAAGTTATAATGGTTCAGCATGATATATGACGAAAAACATATATATATATATATATATATATATATATATATATGTGTGTGTGTGTGTGTGTGTGTGTATGTGTGCATTTTGGCTGTATAACATATATCCAAGAAGAATAATGGTGAGTTTATATGGTTCTACATATACCAATCCTGACAATAGTGTAAGAATAATAATGCATATAGTATACTTATGTAACTATACTGTTACAGTCTAGACGGTGGAGACGGATAGATAGCTAGACTTCCATGCATAATAAAACAGTGAGACCCTCAGTCAAGAGATATAGACCAAAAGGAGGGAGTAGAGAGAGAAGCAAAGAAATTGAGATCAAAAGAAAAAAACAGTCAAAAGTACTTGAAATAGAGAGAATCAAGAAGAGAAATGGAAGGGACCTTCATCATGTAGAAGGAAAAAACATTGTTAAAATCGAAATTGAATTTGAAAAGGATAATAAGTTGTACAGTTCAAAGCTTTGCTTTTTTCAAAGCTCTTCTTTATACCCAAAAAACATTCATCCAAAATATCACTCTCGTGACCCTGGCATTCATGGTCAATCATGTATAGATACCATCAAAGCTGCACACTGTGAATTTTGTCTTACCAAATTAACGAGTACCACAAGGGAAGTCCCGCCAGTACAACTTGGGTAATGCCCCAAGGAAATTTTTGTGTACACCTGTTAACATGATCAATGCATGGTATAGTTCAACCCCACAGGCAAACAGCCCCACACCATAGATTTCTGGGGCTGAGGGAGGAGCCATTTAGATTTTCCATTAGACATATCTTTAATGTTCATTGCTTGAAGAAAAAATATGTATAGTGCTGGTAATTATGTGCACTCTCCACTCAAAACATTATAGAAAAATAGCACAAAGGTTTGTCAAAAGGTCTTGTAAATTAGCACCAAGACATAGTACATTGGACATGTCATATTTGATGTACTCCAGCGTTTTCTTTTGGTTTTTTCTTTTTTGACATGCTCCAGTTGGTTGGTACAAGCAACCGATAAGACAGCAAAATTACTTACAAGCAACACAGCAGGCACAAACCAGATTTATCATATGAACAAATACGCATCCACAATTAAGAGGGGGAAGGTGAGTAGGGAGGGACACATACATACTATCAACAAAATTAAATTTCTGGAAATTTTCTCTATGTTTACATCAATGGTGCTTTCAATCACATTGAATGATGTCAATGGATTATTTACTACTTGTATCCAGGCTGCTTTCAACCTGAACCACATGACTACACTTGAACAATATTTTATATTGTTGCCACCCTTAACCTTACTCAATATCCTTGTTTACAATATAATCTATGTTTCCATATGACCCCTCAGCATTTTTGCCACATCTGATTCATGATTTTTCTTCGTACCGGAGCTATCTAAATTGTGATGTAGTGTTTCTATATCCACCGCCATAGAAATATGTTCGCACAGAAGTCCTGACGATCACATCACAACAGGTGGTGTTGCTCGAAATAGCCAAAATAGTTACGGGACAAGGTCATCAAATGCCAGGTACATAAAAACAATTAGAAGCCACTATCGCAAAGGGTTCTGTAGGATTGGGGATTCAAGCTCAAACGTTGTTAACTACATTTGAGCATGTGAGTTTGGCTTGACCACAATTGACGTAGCTTTAACAGAGCTTGACCGAGTTCAACCATCCTTGGCATGGTTGGCTTGGCTGACAAGTTGGGTTGGTGTTAACTAAGTTCAACAGGTCAGCCATATTCTATGTGTATAGATCGAACAGACAGTGGTTGAATGGGGATTCTTGCATGAGCGAACAGGGTTTGTGTTGTTGGGTCCTTTTTTGGAACTTAGGTCGGCAATCTTAGGATCAACTTAAACAACCTTGGCCAATATGTGTCTACAAGGCTAGGGCCTCTTAGCACGTAATTCAAATGTCCAATGACCAACGTAGACAACTATGTGTCTCTCTGAGTCTCAGCATCTTCTTTGTAACTTATGTAGGTCATCCCATGACCAGCCTATAAAATCAACAACTCACAAAGTTTTTTCCCCAAGCTCGGTTTGTTGGATTTCGAGCCAAAAAGTGTCTTCTTTTGGGACAACTTTTGCTCCCTCCCAAAAGAAAGTCTTGAGATTAAGGGAAAGGGCCATCTGGGCCCACACACCTTTTGTGCAATTTATGCATCCAAACAGGTGGTCTGCATTTCTTCAGTTTTTCTATATGATGAGTTTCCAAGTTTTTCATAATTCAAATAATCCATCCCAAGATAGAGAAATAGGTGATTGGATATTGTGTAGTATTCTTCCTTGTTTCAGTTAAGAAGGAGATATCTATGGAAATGCTTTCATATTCTCTGGAATGAGCTTTGGATTCTACGATGACAATTGTTGCAATTGCCTAGGATGTACTAGATTATGAGGACCTTTAGAAAAGAGTCAGGGACAACTGCAAAACCAAGCCAAACCAAAGCCCAGTAAATCCGACTTGAAAGTAGGGTCTGGGGGGGTGAGATGTAGACAGACCTCCAACCAAAAGGGTTAAGCGGCCATTTCCGTCACGACCCCTGACTTGTGCACGAATGTGAGCATACAAGTACAAGGAATGAAGACTAATATATGGTGAACAGATCACGAAAAAGATTAAGTAGGGAAACGCAATGTGTAGGTACCATTCGGGGACTATTGCAACCCTTCCATATTTAAATTAGTACTCCTGAAGAAGCTTGATGGGGCATGATATGCCTCCAATAAGGGTTTAGTCTTCTATGATGAGACTTTCATATAGTCCTTGCTTTCCAATTCATACATTATATCGGTGTGTATTGGTGAAAGTTGGCTAGCACTATGCTCAAGTCCAACTACCTCTTTATGCGTGGAGGATGATGGTTGCTTTTGTTCTATCATCCATGGAGACCCAATTCGTTAGCTAATTTGCTCGTGACACACCTCTAACCATGATCAAGATTGTATACCATAAATCATGTTTCCATTATGGGCCAAACTAGGATTGAAACCATACTCCAAATGCAAAGAAGAATGAATAAGACAATGTAAAAACAGTCGATGCTTTACCTTTTATGGACAAATCTAACAAAAACATAGGTCCTTACATGCATCAGTACATGAAATCATACAACTTAGTTTTTTCATTGTGTTTATTTGTATCTAATAAATTATACAGTCGTTGTGGTCATCATAATTATCTCCCTTTTAAGTTCTTCCAAAAATATGAAGACAAGAGGAAAAGGAAGTAATAGAAAGTCGGGAACATTTGTTGAGTAAAAAACATATAAAATTTTGCATGTGTGATTTTTTTAAGTCATCAACAGAATATAATAAATCAACAAATAAGCATTCTAAATGTTCTTTTGTTGGCTCTCCCAATGAAAACATAAGAATAATCTTAAGAGAACTATTCTAAGTCTAATAGCCGGTTCAAGCAAAAATTTGAGCAGCAACAGAGGGAAGTCCTTTAATTTGTAAAGGAACCCACTATATCTCACTTGAAAGTTGGGTCTAGGGGGTGGGATGTATGCAGACCAAAGTTGTAAAAGGCTCAAGGCACACTTAGGCGCAAAGGAATCCTGGGGCCTAGGCACGGGCCTCATAAATGTGAGGCACATCTTATATAAAAATATATACACACACAGTTACATACAACTCAAATATGTAGAAAGTACAAGCCTCCAGTGCAGCAACCAACAGTACTTCGATAGAGGCAGACGGGAGAAGGGTTTAAAGAGTGAGCCATGAGGGAGAAGTCTTAAGGTCCGGGTATTTATAGAGAGAGGCTTGAACTTGAAGTTATAAGAACCAGGTGTTTAGTATTAGCGTTTGACTTATGTCATAATTAATGACTCCTTTAAGACGTCTAGAAGATAAGAAGACGAGAAAACTTTTTTTATGCCAAGGTTTGACTCGGTATTTAATAACTCTTTATGAGGCGCGCCTAGGCCCACAAAGCGCCTCAGCCAAGGCACAGGCCTTAGTGAGCCTTGTGAATACGCCTAGCCTCGACTTTAAAAAAGCCCAAGACCTTGAGCCTTATGAGCCTCAGAGCCTAGGTACGCTTTTAACAGCTATGATGCAAACATGTCCTCCACCCCATAGGATAGCATGTTACACAATAGTACTTCAACTTACCATATATACAAATAAAAGTAAACCCACACATTTCACATCAGCGGATCTTATATTAGCATGTACATTTCCACAATGGCCTTGCGTTACAACCATTATAGGCACATTTGTCCATATTAGATATTTAGAAGGCAAGATCAACTACATGATACTGAAACATAAACCATAATAGAATAGATAACAAGTTTCCCTCGTCAGAAGTTCGCAGATAGTTAGACACATCAACATATATTAGTTTTAGGATGATGGAAAACAATCAAAAGTCTGTAAATCAAAATCTATCATGGACACCATATGCAACCAACATCAACAAAAAGGAACATTATAGATGGCACAAAAGCAATACCCACGACGAATAAACCTAGGGAGGTGTTCCATGTTCGGTATAAAATAGTTAAGACTCAAGACCTGTTTTGTTTATGAACTCCACACTAATTTTGGCTCTAAGCAAATGGAACTTATTCCATTGCAAGAAATCTAGGTAATGAATCTTGTCATATAACTCTCCTTCCCTCTACTGCTCTACATGTATTTTAGATATATAACAGCATTACCAAACGGTCAAGAAAATTGTTGCTTAACCATGTAAATCAATGGAACACAATTTCACATGCAACAATATACTATCACTTCTTAGCTTTAGAGTTAAGAGTGTAGGCGACAAAGCATACCCCAAGCGACGGTACACTCCTCACTGGTGGCGCTAGCCTGATTAGCTTGGCACTCGATACCTAATTGAATAGAAAAACAAATCAGACTACACCGATCACATAAACGAATTCAATTCATGAAAGAAAAAAATTGCATTAAAAAAGCGCTCACAGAGATCCATGATGTGATTCCTGCAAATGGCGCAATTATCAACCACAATATCTGCACGACTTAACATATCAAAAACATGAAATCGGCGTTGAACTAGCAAAAGACTATAAAACTTAGGTTTAGGGTTTCGTAAACTCACCCCAAGCCCAAAGAGCGACGGCATTCCACTTCTTGATTTCGAAACGCTTGGGTTTCTTGGAAGAAGAAGAAGAAGAAGGTCCTGGAAGAGTCGAACCTTCACCGGCGGGCACCATGGTCACGTCGGAGTCCATAGAGTTAAACCGGAAGTCGCTTGTAAACAGTTGCCTTTGATGAAATTGTGAAATCGAGATTTTGATTTCCCTTTGGACCCCCAAATAGACACAAGGAAACACCTGCCACGTCAGCAAATATACTTTTATTGACCCTCAGGTTTCTATTTAAAATTTAGGTCTCGTCTGATTTGAATGGATTTTTTAGATTTCAAATTCATATTTAATTTATTGTATTATTCGGATTTGAAATCTTAAGATTTAATTGAAATTCTATAAATATAGAATTTTGAAATCCTTAGAAGCGTTTGGAAAACAGAATAAAACTTCAAGTTTGGATGATAGGACAATAGATAGATGATTTTATTTATCGATTTATAACAACGGAGATAAACTAATATTATTTTTTATATAGTTCTTTTAAAAGCCTGTATTGGATGATAAATATATGTTGTAAGTTAAAAATAAAACGTAACACAAATTTTAAAATTATGAATCAAAGTTAACATCAAGAATTGCTGGTTCCCAAATATGCAATGCAATTCGGATATAAAAAAAGGTATTAGAAATAAATATTGCATTTTTAATGTTAAAAATAAAGGAAAATCTGAAAAAGGAAAAGGGAAAGCGACGCCTGAGAGATTCGAACTCTCGCGGGGAAACCCCATGTACTTAGCAGGCACACGCCTTAACCACTCGGCCAAAGCGTCACTTGCGCATCCTACTCCAATTATTTTATATAAACAATCACTTTTTTTTTTTTTTTTGTACTTCGAATAAAAATCCACAAACATTCACAGCAAAGGCTAATTTATATGGAAGATATAACGGTTTCATATGATCCCAATGATACCAACTCTTAGTCAAACAAATAGTTGACTAGTAACTGGTAGTGGTAATACATACATATACATGACAACAGAGCAAGAAACTTAAGAACAAATAACAAACATAACCACCCAAATTATATCCCAAGAAAAGGCTCAAGGGCCTTCTAATTCATCATTTTCATTGTCATTGTCATTAAGCCCTCTAAACTACAATTTACATTCACAAATATGCAATCACCGGTAACTCCATCCCGCGTGCTCGTTAACGGTTCACGCTCAAACCTCGCCAATAAAACTTCCACATGAACTACAATCTCTATAATTCCCGTAAACCAGCCAGTGATATGATCCCCATTGCACCACTTAACCTTACAGAAAGGAAAACCAAATAAAGCGCAACGAGCCCTACACCCATCGTCCTATTAGGCCGCATATCGTTTCTCAAAAGAACAACAAGAGCCCACATGAGCCCAACGATCAGAAACCCCATGGTGTAGTAAATACTGGTGTCTTGAGGAACATGATAAGACGCGGGTTTTTCTGACCACGCTCCAACTAACAAAGAAACTCCCAAACCCACGAGCGTATTGAACATGGGACTCGCGTAGCATCCGGATACAGCAATCTGGATGCCGTCCCCACCATCAAGAGCCAATGCAACATTTGACACCAAATCACCCATGGAGTTCCCCCAAGCCAATACTGTTAGTGCAAGAATTGAGGGATTCACCTTTAGAAACACACCGAATCCTACCAACAAGGCTACAAGCTCATTTGCAATCATGTAGAACCAAACGATACTCATAAGAAAACCCCCTAAAACCCACGGAAATAAGAATCTACGAGGTGGATGATCTGATCTAGTGTAAAGATACGCAAGAATGCCAAGGGTTGAACCAATTAAACCACCAAGAACGTACACAATGATCCTGATTTCTGAACCCAAATCATCTTGGGTGTTCCATATGAATGCAAGAAGAAGCGGAGCCAATGAAGCACTTGCTACAGCATATGGTTTTGACCATGTTTCCTCTTCGACTAACGGAATGGTCAACAATCTTGGAACGGTTAAAGGGAATACCAGACACGAGCATAAATTAGAAAAGGAGAACCATGGCTGATCAATCTCGATCCCCTCATCATGCCATCCCCATAAATGTCTTTCGTGTTCTTGAAACTTCATTGCTTGATTCGAATAGATTGCAACATTTGAAGCCCACATCCATTCGGGTAAAGAATTTCGCGATTGAGAACCATCGGCTTCAGTTTCAACATCAAGCAAAGAGCTTTGGATGGAATCATCTTCTTGAGAAAATATACTCACTCTAAGTGGAAGCAATGGAGTTACAGAGTCCAACTTTAACCTCTGAACATGTTTCTTAAGGATCTCATTACTAGCAACAAAAACCGCATATAACACATATATCGACACAAATGCAACCGCAGCCCCAAAACTCAGCTTACCCACGATAAGAATCAACAAAAGAAACATTAATGTGGCAAGAAAGAACCCAATGTCTCTAAGAAAGCATTTTTTATCGATTTGAACTCCCTGATCAGCTACACAAATTGATATGATTCCAACAACAACACAAGTAACAAAGACTGCACCGCCCAAAACGCTATTAAGACCAACCTCACCCGTATCATTTCCCACAAATGCAGCAATACTTGCAAAAACATCAGGGGCCCCATTGCCAAGAGGAAGGAGAGTAACCCCAGCAACAGTTGGAGATAATTTCAATAAACCCGAAAGGTTTTGCAACGAAAAACAGAAGTAATCGGCAGCCGTGTTACCCAAAAGATAGAACAATGCTACAAGCCAAATAACCAAAACTATAGCACCTAATGCACCCTCATTGCAATCACAATAATAGAACTTTACGTAATCAAAAAGCCCATCAGATGAACAATGTGGATTCGCTTTTAAGAACTCACAGCTGCTAGAATAACCTCTATGGTCCGCCAATCCAGCACAGATTTCGAAGTTGGTTAAAGTATCAATTGGAGCTGATGAGTTTACAATCGATTCAATCATAGACCTACCTCTTGAGCTCGATTGACCATTGAGAACTGGAAGTTTCTTCAATGAATCAAATTGGTTGTAAATTAGGGCAATTAAAACTAGGGTAAATGTAGCATTTATAATTTCTCGAAATCGGGGACGTGAAAGATGGAAAAATTGCCTCATCTTGGTCTTATATTTACACCTTCGAGAATTATAAACAGAGTGGATGATCGAAATTCGAAACCCTAACACAAGTAAACTCGAACCTAGGGTTTCGATTTTCGGATAATCAAGTTTCTAAAACTGGGATACAGAAGATGAGAACCAAATGATGTAGGAAACTAAATTACAACCGATTGATTGAAGAAACAAAGGCAAATAAACGAGATGCAGCCTTACCAAAGAATTTGAAGTGGTATATAGGGTTTACAGGTGGAAGAAGATATCGATTCTTACGGCTCCGGTGAAAGAAAATTGGGATCGCCGGAAAGGAAGAGTCATGGAGGATGAATTAGCAATAGTAGAATATGATCGATGAGATTAAGATTTGTGATGTTGATGAATCAGGAGGGCGGTGGGTTTTGTTGTTTATTTGACAAATCAAACCACTTCTATCTCCTCCCCCTCCCCCCTCACCAATTCAAGAACACGTTTTATCATTTACTCTTTTTATTTTATTTCATTTCATTTTAACTGAAAAAAGTTACATATAACCAATTAATAATATTTTAAAGTATTAAATAATTGTTTGATAATTATTGAATGATTTGATGTAAAATGATTAAGAGGATCTTATGATATAGTACAAAATAAAATATAATTGTTTGGTAATTATGTATAATGAAATTATGGCTCCTAATGGTTAAGAAAGATCCAGGATACAAAATTATTCAGAGGGTTTTAGAACCATTAAGAGACATATTTTTTCTTTGCCAAACAATATTCACCTTTTAACGATTCAGAGATTGTCTCTTAATGGAACTATTAAGAAGTAAACAAACAACACCTAAAAAACATAAATTAGCATTATCGTTCCCAAACCCTATCTATATATTGTTCAAAATCTTCGCATAAAACGGCATCATTCCCCATGTCTACTTCTTGTTGATTGTTCTTTCTACCTTCCGTCATCACCAATGGGCCCAGACATCGGTCACCATCTTTTTGATTTGTTTTTTATCTTTCGATTCTCCCTCTTATACAAATACAACAATTCAATGGGGCGCGTATAGACGTATAAAAAAAGATGAAGAATTAAAAAAACAATCAAACAAAGTGAGATTGATTGCAGGGGCTAACAACACGATGGGCGATGAATTGAGAGCAAAAGACGATGACCAATTTTAAGATTCAACGGTTTGTTTATGTAGATTTGTGGGTTAAAAAGCAGATAACCAGTTTTAAAAGATCAATAGTTTAGTTATTCAAAAAAAGTTCAAGGTTTTATCATTCAAAATAAGAATGTTTAATAGTTTTCATTAATAAAAAAAAGTTGGAAAAGATAAATCATTAAAATTAGAATCTTTAATGATTCTTTCATTAAAAAGAAATTGGGGAAAAACCATACAAGATGGGAAAGTTGGATGGTTTGTTTAATGGGGTTTTTATTAGAAAAATAATTTAGGGACTAAACCATTTAAAATTTGAAAGTTGGTTCGGCTTATTTGAACGTTTTCCTGTATCCAATTTTAAGTTGGTACAAATCCAATACTAACATGTATCAGCCGAAAAGAGTTGGTACAACGTACGGTTAGTTGGTATATAGTATAAATTTGTACGTACGAATTATAATTGGTTAATACACGGTATCGGGAAAAAAAAACTGGTACCGTAGTAGTTCTACCACTACTGTAATTCATCACATGTGCTAAATCAAAAAAAGGCGAACGACTTTTATTGTGGCCTAAGCCATGGGTCAAGTGCTCGTACACCACGAGGCACCAGATCACTCCACATGTATCATAACATGTCACAAAAGTTTTCTATATTTTCATAAATAAAAGTATTTTATCTATCGATTGAAATTTGAACCTTCACCTTAAAATACATGTATCTTGTTTTTTTCTCATGTATTAGAAACCAATTTAATGATAATAATAAAACTATATTTATGATAACAAATTTTCAGAAATTGTTTTTTCAAAAAATAATATAAAACTATGTTTCCTTAAATTTAAGCGTCTTTCACCTTGTGGTTTGCTAAAAGTTGTTGATTTTGTCTTTGTGGTTTTTTATATTTAAAATAAAATATTTATCTTGTATTTTATTATATTTATTTGCAGTTAGTTACACGAATTCAAACATGAAGCTTTAATAAGTTGTACTTACGCACAATCTACTTGTAATATTGACTTTTAAATAATACGTATCAATAAACAGTACTTAATGCATAAAAAAGATTCTTAAAAGTTTTTATCAAATATTTTATAATATAGTATAGATAAAATGAAATAATTTACAGTTTATTTTATTTCATTCTCGATAATTAATTGTTGGCTTGTTAAATGAAATAAATAAATAGGTGAGCGGTGAGCCCCTCAATCAAAAATATGTTTCGATGTTGGGCTATTAACGTTTATCATTTTTTTAATAACAAAAAAACCGAATCATATTTTTGGTATCTTCATTATGTTTTTTTTATCTGGTTTTACTTTCTAAATTTCATAAAGTAAACAAATGTTCCATCTTTTTGATATAAAACAAAACTAGTCAATCCCTTTTATCATCATTAGAACGAGATGTGGCTTTGAAGTTGTATATCGAAAGAACGAAATGAGAGTTTACATGGTTCTTTGAATTGAAAAAGAAGTTGACGGACAAGAAGAAGATGGCTAAAAGTCTAAATTTCCCCTTACACAACGGGCAAGTGAATGCATTTAATAGAACATCGTGTAACAATTAAGTGAGGGACTAAATTGAGCTTCAAAACATAAACAAATTTTGACCGCTATTGTACTTTATGAAATTTAGGTATTAAAACCAAAATCAGGGACTAGTAATTTAATTCAAACTAACAACAACGACATTTACGAGTCCAACTCCTCTTTCGTGGTCTTTTTTTTTTTTTTTTTTAGACGTGGGTGTCCCCGGTCCTTACCTATCATTTTATGATATGAGTTTCAATGGGTATGTAAGGTAGTTTTCAATAGCCATCTCAATAAAGTCTCAGTTCTCGCCTCAGGGTAACATTTATCTTCTCGACAAAATTAAATAATCTAAGAATAGGTTTCAATATCCCCATATTAGCGTATTTATGGTTTTAAAGTTTCAATTTATGGGTTTTGAATTTTAGTTTATCTTTATTTTCTTTCTATTTTAATAACATAATTTTGAGTTCACGTGATTACAATACGTCAATAACCCCTATACCTAGAGAGAGAGAGAGATTCAAACGAAAACAATAATTAAATAAAAGAACACAAAACAACCAAATCTCGTATAAAATCACATGCGATTTTCTAATAACAGTTAATGTAATGGTATGCGGGTGACATGAGGTTACTGCCAAATTCACGTAAATCACATATGATTTTTACACATTATTTTAGTATAAAATCACATAATTAGGCCATTTTTTTTTTTTTTGCTTCACCGCACATTCTCATTTCGCTCTTGTCTCTCTTCTCACTTTTCTCTTTTATATTCTATCTTTTAAGAGTTTTCCATTCGTCCTCATCCCATAATGACCATACGATAAAAAGTACATCGAATATTTTCCTTAAAAGAAGCTTTTAACATATCAAGAATGATAAGACTATTTCTAACAAATTCTTTAAATAAAGAAAATAAGGATTTTTAACAATTTTTTGTTTTAAGAACATCCACAATGAAGGTCCTTAATGAGATTTTTACAAGAACGTTCACTACGGGACATAAGTTTTTGTCCACTCACAGGTACTTGAGCAAGAAGGCAATTATTGTATACATTTTTTTGTTAATTATTAGTTATTATTTTCTTAAACTCTATTATATTCTTTTAATAAATATATAAAATATACAAGTTAAAATAGGTACCAAAAACATGTATTTA